TGTGTTCCCCGCTGACCATCTCGCTGATGCTTGTTGTCGTCGCTATTTGTCTTCTTGCTCGTCCTCTCGCTTGCTCTACAATACTGCTGCTTCGATCCGTTGTTTCGCTCATCAATTGCTGTTGACGTCGTCTTCGTCGCCTCTCCGTTGCTCAGTACTGCAGCACGTCAAATTGCTCGCGCCTACCCGCGCACCTAGCCGGTCACCCACACGCACCGGTACCGGGTATCCTTCGGGACACGGTTGGCCGCGAGCCAGCCTCACGCTCGAATACTCGTCCGCGCACCGGACGTGTCTTCGAAAACGAACGATCGTCGACGAGGTCGCGGGGCCAACTTTGGAATACCGTGACCTTTTGGTTAATTCGCGCGCGCGACTTTCTCTCTTTACTGCCTAGCAGCGACTCTCTCGAATTTTCCGCGACGATCCGCAATTCGAGCTCTCTCTCTCTCTCTCTTTCTCTCCTTTCTTCTGCACCATCTGCATCGCTCCAGTCGCCAGCATAGCCCGTGTTTAGCACCTCGTAAACAAAACCAAGCATGAGTGTGCGTACCACACACACACTCTCAGCTTGGCGCGGCGCACGGACATTTGCGAGAGCCAAATGGACGAAATCGGCCTAGCCGAGATTCTCCGTTACAAACTATTTTCATTAATAAACGCGTTCAGGGCATTATTTCGTTGATTCAAGAAGCCCTCAAAATTTGTTATTCAGTTAGCATACATTATTCTTGGATATATTGTTAGCATACATTATATGGATATATCTTATTTTTTCTTTTTTTTGAATGTTACTGATATCATTTATTTAAGGTATAAAACTTGTTTTGTTCTTAATACTCACTTTTATAATACGTTTGTACATTGTCTACCAAAGATATTTTTTACAATCAGTAACGTTGTAATTTGCTGTTGTACGATGAAGTTAATATTAAAAATGAAACTAAATATAAAATATTTTTTTATGATATACTTTATACCATCACTCTGAAAAAATTGAACCATGAATATTATTTTACATTACCATTCGCTGTACTTTTTGAAGCTAAATATGTGAATAATGTAAAATATTGTAATGTAATAGGTTCTCAACTACTTAGAATTATTTTTGTTAAGGTTCTACGGATCATGAATATTTTTTTATATTACATTTGTGATTTAAATATTACACTATTAACCAAGGGAATGAAAATATTGGCAAGTCCATAGCACGGATATATTAACACCTGAGGCAAGCCGACAAGACGTACGTGCTAGGGATTGCACTTCCGTGGTTAATATACAATTTTTTTTGCCTACAGCATGTAAAATGTGGGCTGTGAAATCTGACATCTGGGTTTCAAGATGCACTTTACGCGTAGTAATCAAAAAATAATATTTTTCCCATTGGAACATACTATTCTTTATAAATAAACAACTAATTAATGAAGTATTGTAACGGGGTTAATACCGTTTATTTATTTTATGCGCGCGATCGTATCGAAGAGCGCGCGGGATTATCAGAACGTTCAAACATGAAAACCGGAGAGCAGGAGGGAACGGGTGTCAGTCAACCAACAATTTACTAACATAAAATAAATACGTCGGAAATATTGTTAATATCACAAGCGAGAATGTTTATTGCCTCTTAAAGCTACACTGTATTCGGCCCGCGTGTTTATGTTTACATGCCGCGCACACAACATGGAGTGTCGGATCGTTCGTCGCTCTTTGTTCGCCGAGTTATTACATGCACGTTTTTTGTCGAGTACGAGAGATTATAGACAATTCTATCGCGATCGCGAAATTAAGCTGGCCAGCTTACCTTATTAACTCTCGCACGGGTAACAAGTGAGACGAAGAAGGCTCGTACGGCACACGCTATGTTTTTTGGTAATGTTTATCTGCCGGCGATGATGTCTCTCGCTTACGGTTTCGCCCTCGAAGGCGAAACTCTCCACTCACGCACACTTGCACGCACACTTGCACGCACACTTTCCGGACGTAAGGCTATGTCACAGCTTCTCTCCTTTGTCTCTACACTCCAGAAAACTCGTGGAAAACTATGGTCCTTCTTAATAGCAGCTGGAGGTATCGATAACTAATCCTCGACTGGTTCGTTTTTATTCGCGCGCGTTCCGTCGCGTCTCGTACCGAATTCCCCCAATACATTTCGCCCCAACCAGCAGGTGCTGCCCTCGCCGGCAGCCGCATAGTTGGGCTGTTAGCGCTAATACGACGTTTACCGTCACAGTATATAAAATATTAAGTGATCTTGATTTAATAATATTTTTTTAAACTAACATAAGAAAATAAATTCTACTTTCTGGTACAACAGTGATACGTTAGAATATTAAATTCATCAATAATTTGCAACTTACATTAAAAAAAGTCTCTCTGAAAAAAACTAATCATAGCCGTATATAAAAAGTTTGTTAAAATTCTATAATTCCTTCATTTTTTGAATTTAGATATCCGAGTTGTTCGGCTTGACGATTGCGACTGATTCTTTAAATCTACACTGTTAGTCCAAAGTATTTATTACAATGTACGATTTGTTATATAAGAAGAAACTAAGTTTGTTTTTTTTCCAAGCTAATGTTCAATCTTAACGCGCAACAATGTATGAAAAAATTTATTTACAAAAATTCTTAGCTATTATCATTATTTACTGGAAATTTGTAGCATAAAAAAGAACTCTATGCTTCATAATAATTTACGATTAATAGTAAATATTTTTAAATTGAAAGAATCATTCATTGTATGGATAAAGGATTGACAAATACTCTTTTCCTCCATCAAACAGTCTCTCTGAAATAACTTTTTTATTTTGTCATAATATGTACCGGTAACAATTCTCGTTACAGTCTAATTGGACTATTGTCTAGAAAAAATTTTAAAAGTTTAGAAATCTTTATTCTTAAGTAATAGTTTTGAAATATATTGAATAATATACACTACTTATTGTGATACTATAGTTACATAATAATTTATATTGATTTAGAGTTATCCTCACTATTAATATTTCAAAGAACTACAAAGGATAAAAATTTCTAATAAATAACAATATTTTTTATCTCTCTAAAATTTTTTTAGTGAAATACAAAAGGCTTATAGATATGATCATGGAAAATGAATGATAAGGACAAATATTTTGAATTATGATAAGCGTCGGGTATTATCATTTATTGAATTGTAACTGTAAAGTTAACAAAACCTATGAGAACTCACACTGCTAAAACAAGGATATTTAACCAGATTAAAAATCCAATCCGCTTCGAGTCTATTTCTGAATCCTACAAATGACAATTTAAATTTATCAAACTGGAATCGATCTGAATCCCCTTTAATATTTTTCTATCCTGAAATTAATTATAATATGTAAAATTAATTTCGGGATAAAAAAACATTAAAGTGAATTAAGATTCATTCTACTTTAATGAATTTCAATTATCATTTGTAGGATTCAGAAATAAACTGGGGATGGGATTTTCAATCCGGTTGAATGTCCTTGTTTTAGCTGGGTACACTCAGCGTTTATTCAACAGGAACCAACAGCTTGAAAATAAACAAAATTATTACGAAACATCATTCCTTCGTTTCCCATCATCATTATTTAAAGATTACAAAATTTTACTCATGAGACTATCAATTCTATGATAATCACCGATGAAAAATGTTGATGGTTGGGATCTTGGTCACATAAGTATTGAAAAAAAGCTATTTTCAAACAATTTATAAACTAGTTTAATGTATATCCATTAATAGCTATCTTTATTATATGTAAAATTCAATTATGAAGTGATAGCAACAAAGGCATTACTAGTATAATCGCTGATTCTTTCGTACGTCGACTGTGACTGTATGAGATTGTATCGTGCATGCGCAGTAGGCTGAATTTATTGCAAAATCAATTATTTCGTTATTTTCGGCAAATCAGCAGGGACTGGGAATCGAACCTGAGCCTACCGGGTACGAGTCCGTCGCCCTACCGACCGAGCTACATTGCAGGCCTAAATGCTGGAGTCGCGGAGCTCTATTTACGATCGAGCTGGCAGAATCGGCCATGTTTTCAAACTTCCTAGTTCCAGGCTGCATAATTAATACTGAACTAAATGAAAATATATGAATCGAAAGATTTTTATTTGTTCAATTCACCTGAATTATAAGAATTATTTACCTATACTTAGTTTATTCATAAAAAAATTTAAAAAAAATTATCGTAAAATAATTATTTTTCCAACGATCCCTAATAAAAAAGGTTTATTAAAAACAATTAAATGGCATTTTTGAATGTAATAAATCGTAAAAAATTGCCCCCAAGCTGGTTTAATTTGTTTAGTTGATTAATATTGAAAGTATTCAATATATATTTTAAAAATTAAGAATTTATAATTAATAATACAAATTATTGTTGTCTACAAAATTCACGCAGTGCGCATGCTCGATACAGAATGAAGACCATATAATAGAAAAAATAATTTTATTTTTAATTCCACAATTTCACAATTCAATTTAAATAAATAACTTGATTTCTAACTTTTTGCAGACGTATGGATTTATTAACTATCAGTTACAATTAACAATTATTTGGTAAACAGTTTAAATAAAAAAGTATAATATTTTTTTATACGATACTACCTTTTTATTGAACATGCGCATAGGCGAAATCCTGTGGTCGATTATAATTTTTCAGTTTTATAAAATACCTGTTGAATGTTTTCAATATCAATTATGTGATCAAATGAAATGAGTTCGGGCAAAATTTTTTATAACTTATTGAATTCAGAAATTCGATTTAATAAAATAGATACACATATTGAAATCGTTGAGAAAATAATTGTCTTCATTATTTTTTAAGAAAAAGTTGTGGATGAGCAAATAAATCTAATAATATAGGTGAATTAGGCAAATCAAATCCTTTCCCATAGTATATTTTTTTAAATAAAATCATTAATTATGCTGGCTGAAACGAAGGAGGTCGGTTGTCACTTGTCGGTTCGGTGCCCGGCGGCCATATGAGTTGTCTCCTCTCTTACTTCCTGGTTTTTGTATTTTGTATAAGCCGTAATTTTACACGTGTTTTGCATTTGTTCATTGTTCAATGTGTGTGTATTTGATTAAATTGTGTACGATAAAAAGGGAAAACAGACGCAGAAATTTTTTATATTAAGTTAAATTTAATTATATATTTACCTTTAAAAAGAAGAAAGATTGTTTAGTTTCAATATATAAAATATTTTCAATAGTCATGTTTGGCCCAGGAGCTACACCGATTGTCGTTTTGAGTATGTTCAGAAATTCCAAAAATTTTGTAATGCGATTTGCCAAAAATATTTGTTTTCACATTTTAGTTTACTATAATTACTTGCAGGTCAAAACACAAAACGAGAATCAGGCAAAAAAGTTCAAAGAGAAAATATTCAAGCTGGAAAGGTATAGTAAATTGTATATAAGGCTGTAATAAGTTTTGGTTCTAAGTGTTTTTTTTTTCACGTAAATTGATTTACAATTTTATGTAAGAATTTCTTTTGATTTATATTTAGAATGTTAAGATTTTGAGTGACTTGTTTTGATTATAAAGTTATAAACTAAAATTAATCTGATATTTTGAAGAAATAATATTATTTTTCTATTTCATTGCAATAAGTATTCTGCTTCTAATTCTATTTAAATTTAGTTTTTGAAGGATAATAATGATGAAAGATTGTTAATTGTTAATATTTAAGCCACATATTACAATGAGCTGATGTTTCAGTTTACAGAAATTATATTTGTACTGTAGTTTATGAAATTACTTAGTAATTCTTAATGTCATCTAATTATATATATTGTTAAAATGTAAGTATCATCTAAGATAAAATGTTGATTAGTTCATTTTTATGAAGAAATTATGTAAACAAAGGAATTTTAATGTAGCGCAACATTAGAGATAAAATGTGTCTGGTTTTCATTTTTCTGGTTAACATGTCATGGTCTTTTTAGTACTTCTTCAAATTAAGAGTTTTACTTGATAATATATATAAAGAATGAGTTATTGAGGTATATTAAAAGTGGAAGTGATGAGGTTTATTTCTTTTGTACCATTATGTTTAATTTTAGGCATAATCATGTTGATTCAAAGCAATCTTCATTTTCCTCTTAACTATTGGTATTGAAAATTTCAATGTCGTTTTGATCTTTAAGGATTAAAAAATATTTATCCTTAATATTTATCCTAAATATTAAATTTTAACAATTTGATCCTTGCATATTTATTGAATTGAATAATGGTTATAATAGTTTTATATTTGTAGATATAGATGTGATAATTATTTTTTGTATAAAATAACAAGAACATAGTGACTGAAATTAGGAAGTTTTTAGCTATGTGGTTGCAAAAAAATTTTTATTTATTTATTTATTAAAAAATGAAAAACATCAACTAAAACAAGGAAGTCTTTAGCTATGTAGTATAGTCCAGTCAACCTGTGAAAGGAAGTGGATGTAGAAGCTGTGTGTTATTGTTGGAATTGTTTGAAAATAGCATAGGTGATATTGTACTAACTTAAAATATGAGTAATATGATAAACACATGTGACCATAATGTTTAGAAAATTTTAAATAAACTAAAATCTGATAAGTTTGTAGTTTTGAAAATGAAATCCATTTATTTTTTAATGGATATTATATTAAATTTACATAAAGCATGTTGTACACAATTGCGTCTTTCCCTGAGTCAAGTACTCAAGGGATCAAGATGCGGTATAAGATAAAGAAAATTGGATAGTTAGTGTAGTAAAAGAATGGGATGTTGGCAGGTGAAACTTTTCACAATGTTTGTTGATTGCTTCTTCCTAGAAAATGCACTAGGTGTTATCTCGTACTGTCCTCCTGAGCCTGCGGCTTGGTGTGTAGTCATTGTGTAAGGGAGCCTTGATGTCACTTTGACTGGGTTTGTCTTGACTAGGTGATCCGGAGAGCTCAGCTAGTAGTCCTATCAACTGTTAGAATAGATTAGGACAAGAAGTGGCGATGCACTCACTTTTATACAGAGAGATGAAGTGTAAGAGCGTTCTCTGATCCTCCCAAAAAAGCAAGCAGAATTGATCCGAAAAGTGTCGCTCCCAAACGTAAGTTACTTGCTACAGAGGGAGAGTGTGGAATGTCAGCATACAATTCAATGCTAGCTGAGACTTATTCAACAAACAGAAAACAAGTATCATCAAGAATTGTGTTGCGAGTAAACCAACAGCAGTATTGTAAGGATGGGACAGATCGCAAAACATTTGTTGTAACGTTTCGACTTTGCTACGTTATAATTAATTAAGTTAAGACTCTAAGATATATTTGTAAATTGTCTTTCCGAGAGCAAGCAAGAAGTTGACATACAATACTAGATACTCGAAATGATCAAAATAATAGTTGTCTGTGTATTTAAAAAAATAGTAAGTGAAGTCAATCATCGAGCAGCGAACCTAGTGTGAATCTACACAGTTCGCTACTTCGACGTGCTGTTTGAAATGTTGCTAAGCATCGTTGTATCTATGTATTAGGGAAAGGCCAGACAGCGACGCAACGTATATTCAGTCGAATCTCTAGGCTGTAATAATATGATTAGGAAAGGAGATAGTCTAAGACTGTTTTTTTCTCATAAGAGAAAAGGTCTTATGAGTTGAGCTCTTGGACTATCGTGTAGGAGAGAATAATAGCAAGGTTAACCACTGAATAATGAAAACAGATATTACGAAATGGCTGTGTCGTTATTTCTATGTAAATAATGCTCGCGCTGCTAGACAAGGTAGGATTCCAAGTACCTCCTTGTCGTAGTGACAAGCGAATTTATACTTGCGAAAGAGGCTCCTTTATACGCTGGGTGGCCCCTACAACGCTATTTTTGTCAACTTGCACAAATTTTAAACAAGCTTTGTCGCGAAATCGTGCATGCAAAGTGAAAAGTTGGTGATTTAAAAAATTAAATTGAAAATGCTAAATTTTATAGGATAAATCACTTCTTGAGGAAAAATCGCCTCACAAAGTTATAAACGACTAAAGTTAATTAATTGAATAGCTTAAAATTTACAATAAAATTGTTGGAATTTTTTACACCAAAAAATTATTTATGATACACGGAATATTATCTAAAATCAAAATCACCTATTTAACAAACAATAGTTGAATAATAATTAAATAATGAACTCGGAAATTATCTTTTTTGCTATTATAAAATCAACAATCGGATAACAATCGTTTTCACTAATTTTATATGTATTTCAAAGGTTTAAATAAACTATAAATTTTTTATTTATTTATAACTCTGTTAAAAATCATTTATCAAAGGGTTAAATTCTTGCTTCTCTTTCTTAAGGTGCTAGAATCGCTGTTGTATATTCCAATTCGCATCATATTTATTTGTTGCAAAATTTCTAGTGATATTTACTTGCAAATTAAAGTAAGTTAACAAATAGGTATGAAATGATCATAATAACTCGAAATTCGTGATTAGCTCATTGAAATTGACCAAAAACTCGCTCGCTTTTTCGGGGGTTTTGCTACGGGCGAGTTAACCTGAGGAACCTGGCTGGAGTTTGGGTTCGTTTGCAGATCAATCAGGGTACCAGGTTACTCGATGATATAAAAGGCCGAATTAGCGGAAACTATTCTACAAGAGTATAAAATGAGTCTTAGAATCACGAGCCGATTCTAAGAATTTTTGATTTTTATAAAGAAATTGAACTGCACACAGACGCTAGTTCACATGGATTCAGAGCCATATTATTGCAAAAATAGGACGACGGGAATTTTCACCCGATTTTCTTTTACAGCTCGAGAACCAATGACGCGGAGCGCAAGCTCCATAGTTTTGAACTTGAAACGTTGGCTATAGACAGGGCCTTGGAATTGGAACGATTTCGAGTCTATTTGATAGGTAAAGAATTTACGCTCGTTACTGATTGTAAAGCGCTGAAACAAACACTGGAGAAAAAGGATATTAATGCCAAGATCTGTAGATGGAGTTTGAGACTGCAGGAATTTAATTTTAAGATTCAGCATCGCCGTGGCGTACAACTACCGGACGTTGATTCACTTAGCCGATGCTTCGATATCAATTTGATATCGTCCGGCGATCTGGATGACCGACTAGCGCTGTCGCAGTTAACTGACGCCGAAATTCAGGATCTAAAAATACGCGTCAGTAAGGACGACGAGAAGCTGGTGCGTGATTATGTTATTGTAAACGATAAATTGTTTAGGGTCCTCGATGGCGAGAAGCGATTCGTTGTTCCTCGCGGCATGCGTCGGGAGCTTATTTTAAGAATCCACGACGATATCGCTCATTTAGGCGTCGATAAAACATGTAGCGAACTGAGGAAAAATTACTACTTTGTAAATATGCGGAAGTTTGTAAAAAAATGTTTGGCTAATTGCGTTGGGTGTCTCGAATATAATGGGAAGGCAAGCGTTAATGAAGGACTGCTTCACATGATCGATAAGGGTAGCGCGCCATGGGACACGCTGCACTTGGATCATGTGGAACCTTTTGCAAGGTCATCAAAGGGTCATAGGCACGTCTTCGAAATTATTGACGCCTTTACTAAATTCATTGTATTGGAGCCGACTCATGAGGTAATCAGAATTCTTGAGAGTTTGTTTGGCCTCTTCGGAGTGCCTAGGCGTGTCATTTCAGATCGAAGAACGGCCTTCACTAGCCGCGAATTCGAGGAGTATTGTGTCGTTAAGGGAATCGAACACGTCAGGATTGCCGTGAGAACGCCAAGAGCGAATGGGCAAATTGAGCGCTACAACAGGACAATCGTGCCGGCCATGTGTAAGTTGAGCTCTTCTCCTAATAAGTGGCATGAGACTTTGAGAAGAGTGCAGCTTGCTTTGAATAGTACTGTTCAAAAGACTACTAAGAGAACTCCGGCCGAGGTGTTCTTCGGGATGACCTTGCGGCGCGGGGGCGTGGACGTTGTGGCTGAGCCGATAAATGAGGAGCTGTTGTACGATCAACGGGGCCGTGACCAGGCGGAGATTCGGGCGCGGGTCAGCGAGCAGATCTCTCGCACCCAGGCTGAGACTGCGAAGCGTTACAATTCGAATCGTCAGCCCTACCCATCGTATGAACCAGGGGATTATGTAATGATTCAGCTGACTGTGTTGGATGTCATGGCACGGTGGGTCTGAGCGACATTTAAATAAAAGTGAAAGCAGGTTCCAATTTTTTTGCATATTTCGGTAAAAATACTAATAATTAGGAGATCCCAGAAAGAATTTAAAAAAATCCCTGAGCCCTTTTTGAAAAAATCGATTTTTAAACATTTTTATCAAACAAAAAAAATAAAAAAATAATTTTGGTTGTGGTTGATGGTATTAATAAATAAATCAATATTTTTTTCGATATTTCCACAGATGCACATTTAATAATAAAAAATTCAACACCAGCATTTTGAAAA